AGAGCAAAGAGTCCAGGGGTCCCAGGATTTTGATGGCAGGCCTGGTGAGGTGACCGCTAGGAGGCCACTCCTCCCTTTTCCATATTAGTTTCCTTATCTGGGTAAAGGCCAATGGTCTGTCCATCTTTCACTTTTGTCTTAAAAATCATCTCATCATTATCAGAGCATTTTTAAGATGTCTCTGGCAGACATCCCTCATTAGAGAAAGGCATAGGCTTTGTCTGGTGAGACAAAAACATCTCGCTGTGTTCTGTTCAATAAATGTGGCCTTATCCCACATCCTAAAAAGGCTAAGCGGAAGACTGAGCTCTAGCACTTTGGGAATAACTGAAAACTTTGAACCCAGAGATTTCTTGCCTGGGATGCTGAGTCTCTGGCTTGGTTTTCTTATTTCAAAAAATCCAGCAGGACCCACATGGCCTCTTGACAAGGGTACTTTGACTGAACACTATTTGCTTTTGACTGAAATTCCTGCAGTTCTTGGGCCTCGATGACCCTGTTCTGATTACTCTTAGAGTAATAAAAAAAGAAGGCACAGGAATTATTCTTTTAAAAGTACAGCTTATGTGGGAGATATAAATCTTTCCAAATGGGTTGAGGCAGAGGGAGGAGAACTAGCAAGAGGGAGTCCCTTCACGAGAAGCCGTGGAGATCAGAGGAGCCAGTGCTGCATGGCTGAGGCTGGCCTTGCAGGGACCCAGTGTGGGGACAGTGGTGTGGGTGGTGGCAGGCTCTGCTGGCCCAGCATAAATTATGGCCAATGGCAGGAGGCCAGACCACCCACCAGAAAGAGGTTGATTGACTCAGGCAAGTCAGGGCAGCCTCAACTTGCAGCCTTGGGGACAATTAGTGATAGAAATGTCTGAACTTCCCCAAGTCACTAAACTCTCAGGACTTCAGGGCTCAGATTTCCCCAGTGTCCCCTTCATTGCAAGCAAGCCCCTCTTCCCAACTGCTCACCCAGCTAAGTCATATGCTTGGTGTATGCCTGCCACCAAGACACTGTGTCTCATTCTAAGGGGCTGTAAGCAGAGCTTGGTGGAACCTGATTGGATCGAGAGACCACTAGGAAATTACTAATTACCCAGAGGTGAGACAGCAGAGGGATGAGCCATGGAGTCTGCAGAGCTGACATTTAGGGCAATTTCTAACTCAGATCAAGTTGATTCTGATGCCATGGGCTAAGACAGCCCCCTCACTGTCATGGGAAGGCTGGGAAATTGAGGCCAGAGAAGGGGCAGGGCCTTCCCAAGCTTATGGAGCATGGATAGCAACACCAGGACAAGGCCTCCCAGTCTAGGTCCTTGTTTGGGATACCTGCCATCTGTCCTCACTCTCGCTTGTTGGACATTTAGTCCTCACTCCAAGCATCTTTCATGCATCGTGCTTGAAAAGGGGGAGGGTTAGTGCAAAAAGGGGAAGACCTCCAATGAGGTGAATTGACGTAATGTGCTCAAGTGTGTAAGAGATGATGAGGATGGCACAGGATGGGACGGGGTTCAAGTCTGCTGTTCATAGGGTCCCTGTGAGTCAACAATAACCGTGCATCCCCCACCCCAGGCAGTGCCCACTGCAGCTGGACATGGCTCAGGGGGACTGCACTTACTCTTAGTAGCACAGGAAGCATAGAGGGACCTGTAGGGTGTGGGTGAGCGGGAGATGGCTATCCTTGCCCCCTGCCCTGTCTACCTGCCAGTTGCCTCTTGCCTGACTGTCCTTCCCAAACGGACCATCTCCCAGTAGTCTTTATAAACCCAGGCAGGCAGCAGGGCCAGATTGGGGTTGAGGGCAGCAGGGCGGCTGATGGGGTCAGGTCAGCCAAGAACAATATCAGATTACCTACACGAGGTAAGTGTAAGCTCCCTCACGCTTACTTACTATTCTGTAGTGAACAATTTCACATTTTTTTTTTCACTGAGTCAGAGATTCTGCTTCTAAGTGTATGGTTGGCATGTCTCTGTTCAAACCCATAGCACTTTTCAGAATCGAAGCCACTTTTCAAATGTCCAATCCTTGCCAGTGATGGAGTATGTAGAAAATAAGTAAGTATGGACTCACTTAGTTATTAACCCATAGTAAGCAATTTTACCACAATTCAGAGTATTCGCTAGAGGTTAATAAGGAAGCATGGGTAAGCCCCTGCTTACCACATTCACTGCATAATCCACCCAAGGCAGGCATACCTGTCAGACCCAGAAGATGGTGCAGCCTGAGTTAGGAAGGAGGAAGGGGCTTGGACCAGCTATTTTTAACTCAGCTTAATTTTCCTACCTGGAAACCAACTCTAGCCAGTGGAGTAGCGCTGTTCCCGGAATGATTTCATCCCCTAAGAGCTGGACTTGCTCAGGTTCCTGGCTCAGGCCTCTCCATTTCACAGGAACCCTGCGTGCCCAGCCCGAGCCCAGAGCAGGGCAGCAGGAAACCAGAGCTGGCAGCTCCCAGCTCACTGCCTGACCCCGCGAGGCCAGCGGAGGCCCCTGCCCCTGTCGTCATCCCCCTTTCACACCAGGGAGGGAGCCTGTCCCCAGGTCTGTTTAATTCTTCTATTATGTTTCCCAGACTCGAAGCCTCTAGTTCTCTATTGTCCTGAGCTGGCATTTTTGCATTTGTGTAAAGATTAGACATGTTAGAACCTTCGCTCTGACTCCCTCTGGTCCTTCTCTTTTACTTTCTCAAATCCGAGTTATTTCTTCCTCGCTACACGCTGCTTCCTTGTTCGCCCTCTCTCTCCCTACCTGTCTTTATCTGCCTCCCTGTTTGTTTTCTTCCTCACCATACTCCCTCCTTCTCCCAGCTGACCTGCTTTTTCTTCTTTCTTCTCTCCACAGTTCAGTAGCTTGAATTCTCTGTCCACCTCCCCCACAATGCTTAATTCTGTATTTGTATGCTCTCCGAGGCTAACAGAGAGGACAGGGAGTATTGCTCACCTCATTCCAGAAATGCCCTTCTAAATTCTTAGAGAGGCACCATGCAAAGGAATGCAGTGAGCACTGCAAGGGGAGTCCCCTGGGGTGCACTGGAGACACTCTCGAGGTTCTAATGCCAGTGCGGGTGGCTCTAGTCTTGTGGGGCCTCTATTTCCTCTAGGGCAATAGCAGAACGAATATTCAGATGTCAATAGTTATCTCGTGGGCTTTAGGGAGGGAAATTGGAAGTGCCCTGAGCACATAGTAGGTGGTCAGGAAGTGATTTCCTGCTCCCACTGTGGCCTGACCCCACCTGACACCCAGGATAACACTGACAGGTGTCTCTCCCCACTAGTTTTGGTGGACTTTTCCAGAGTCTCATGCAGACATGTGCGTGCTCACCACACACGTAATCTGAACACACCTTACTGTTGCTGCTGTGAGCTGTTGCTGACCCTCCAGCGGGTTTTCAGAGGCAGTAAATGGCACAGGAGGAGAGTGCTCATCCTTCTCCCGCGGAGCAGGATTCAAACTGTGTGCCTTTGGCATGGCAAGGGCAGCTTCTTACCACCAGGCCACCAGAACTCTCTGGACACACCTTGTTGTTGCTGTTGTTGTGTACCATCAAGTTGGAACTGACCCTTAGCTGACCCTCTGGCAGGTTTTTGGAGGCAGTAATTTGCACCAGAGGAGATAGATTGTCCTCTTTCTGCCACAGAGCAGCTGGGGTCAGAAGAGCTTTCCTAGGAAGATGCAAAAGTGCCATTTCTGGTCTGCTTTCCTCATAAATAGCTGGGAACTCTAGAGCTACAGAATGCTACATACAGAAACTAAGGATTGGGTAACCTGGGTTCCCAAGCACTTGATTTGCACAGTTGGAAGGCACATGTTTGTTCCTTCATCCCCACCTCCCTCCCGCCCTCCCTCAGAGGATGCTCCTGGGCTCCTACTGTGTGCCAGGCAGGCCTGAGTGTGTGGTCCTAGACTTCTGTCCCCACGGTCAGGCAGATAAGCTAGAACATCATGACTCAGTCAGGCATCACAGCCAGGCTAGCAATTCCGAGGAATGAGAGTGCCTTTCCTGTGTGTTTGAGGACGGGATCCCTGAGATGATACAGGCCTGGTGGGAATGGAGAGCAACTATCCCAGGAAGTACCCTTACACACACTTTCTGCAGAAAGTAGTCAGTGTCACATCCACGTGTCCAACTCGGGAATTCAAGGGTCACTCTGTGTGCACAGAAGGGTTTGGGGGTCTTCTTTCTGGAAAAAGCTCCTTAGTCTCGAAGTAATCTACGAGGCAGACAGGTTAAAAAGTCCCATTTTGCCCTCACTTTGCAAATGGGGAAGCAGGACATGGGAGAAGGTTCTTTCTTGGCCATAGCTGCATTGCTGAACAGCTTCTAGAAGGTTACAGGACTCCTGCCTGGAGGCCATGTGAATGCAGGGGAGACAGCACAATCGTGCCTTGGTGAGCTGTGAATGAGGCAGGTCCAGGCTGGCAAGTGAGGTCCTTCAGTGAGGAAAAGGCCCTGCCCAGAGAGGGTGCCCAAGACCACCCAGCCCTAACTAAGGAGGCCTCCACTTCCCACACTAGAGAAAGGGCATCCTCAGCTTGATGCCTCTAGAGTAGGGCACTTGGCAGGGTCTCTTCCAATGGGCTGGGAGGATACTGCTCCTGAGACGCCGCCGTCTGCCTTCTAAGCTCCCAGCCCTGCACGGCCACAGAGTTCTGGAAGTTTTAGGTCACCTTAGGGATGAATTGGGAAGCTCAGAGGGATTGCATCAGGAGGTGCTCCAGGCTCAGAGGGAGGAGCCAGGAATGGGAGCATTCCCCCTCCTTCCCGACCCCTTCCCTGGGCGCGGGCTGAGCGCCCGGGGGTGGGAGGAGGAGGCGGTGTCCCTGGCGCCCTGCCCGCCGGTAAAGCAGGGCAGGGCTACACCAACAGGGGCGGGGCCCGCAACCTGGTATTATAAGGCGCAGCACCGGGCACCAAGGCAGAGAGCTCCAGGCTCGGCTCCGCTCAGCAGCAGGACGCTGGCAACAGGCGCTCCCTGCTCCGGCCGTCCAGCCAGCGCTCCCTCCGCCACTGCCATGGTCGCCGTGCCCACCGCCTGGTGCTCCGTCGTTCTAGCCCTGCTCCTGGCCCTGCACGAAGGTGAGCCGCCCTGGCTTGGCCCCCCACTGCAGCCCCAACGGGTCTCCCCCGCCCCAGTGCTCTGGTGCCCGAGCCAGCGGGGGACGTGTGGGGCTGTAGCGCAGTGGCGGCCGCTGGGTTCTGCCAAGTGCAGAGGCACAGAGCACCTGGCAGGATGGCCCGTCCCACGGGGCTCTTGGGGCTTCCCCGGGCTGGCGCGGTGTTCCTAAGCGGCAGTAGTGCCAACTTCCTCGATTATGCAAGAGGAGGGGCCCTTCGAGTCCCCTTGCCCTGGCTGTCCCCAGCGCCTGACCCACCTCTCCGCTTCTCTCTTCATCCTGTGCGTGCAGGCAAGGGTCAAACCGCTGCAGCCACTGAGCAACAGGCCCCTTCGGCCCGCGCCTGGGGCGCCCACCTGCGGCCTCGGCGGTGCTCCTGCAGCTCCTGGCTTGACAAGGAGTGTGTCTACTTCTGCCACCTGGACATCATTTGGGTGAACACTCCAGGGTGAGCTGCCAAGGGGAGCCAGGCAGAGCTGCCAGGGGCGGGGGAGCCGGGGTGGGGGCTGTTGACAAGTGAGGTGCTCGGGCACAGGGGAGCTCTTCTGAGCCTCCCGACGGGGGCGTTGGGCGAAATGTCAATAGTTCGCAATTGTTTTCATCGCTACGGAGGGTCAGCGAGGGCACTATGGAGGCCTGTCTCCAAGGAATTCTCTTAACAGCCTGTCTGGAAAGGGTCGGGCGCGCTTCCAGACCAGCACACTAAGATCAGAGAGTTAGATGCCCTCCCCAAGATTCCACGGGACAGAGTTAGTGACAGCAAAATGAGGGCACCATCCGTCTGTAGATGCCAGAGCTCACACCCACTCTGCCACACTGCCTCTGTCTTCCAAGAATAATTTGACGGATGACATGCCCCTGTCTTGGCTGTGCCAGGCTGTGCAAGCTCTGCACGTGCGTTATCATTGCAGGAGCCCTCCCCCACCTCAGCCAACCTATGAGGCAGGCACTGCCAGTGTCTGCCAATGACAGATGAGAAGCCAGCCCCGTGTCACCTAGTGGAACTGGGGTGGGGGCCCCGCGCTGTCTGTTCTCAGCACAGAGCTGCCTCCGGGCCACTGCATACCTCAAGTTGCAGTTTCTGTGTGTGTTTGTGTTGGCTTTTTTTTTAAATTCCGTCTCCAAATTGCAAAAGGCAAGAGAAGCCTTGCACGTAAGCGTGTGTGGAGCTAATCCGCATCCAAACACTCACTGAGGGCGGGAAGCCTGCCAGTCCCTGCGTGCTGGGTCTGCCTCCCAGTCATTACAGCTCCAACCACATTGCCTAAAATTAGCTCTGTGACCTATCCAGATGCTGGTCCAGTTGGCCCCTGCCCACCTTGGCCAGACTTTCAATCTGAGATCAGTGCCACTTAATCCTGACTCTGTACACTTTCCCTAACACATGTGCAACATTTTAAAGTCAGAGTCCCACTGCGCACTTGTTACCCCTGCAGGCGCCCGGGTCAACAGGCAGGGGCAGCTCATACTTCTGTGAAATGGACTCTTTCCTCCCTTCCTCCAGGGGGACCAGTCTTGCTCCTTCAGCTCACTTTCTGTCAGGAAGGGGCCAGGATCAGGGAAACTCCTCAACCCCCAGCTGAGGGTGGGACCACAGTTCCCGTCCTCTTTCCTCCCCATACTGAACAAAATCTGAGGGCAGGGATCCACAGAAAAGAGGGGTCCTGTCCAAGGCTCCTCATCACCTTTGAGGGATTCTATGATTTGCTGTGGTAGAACTTCTTGAAACCAGGGACCGACAACCTTTCATGGCCACCCTGATAGCATGGTGGCTTTTCCAGGTGCAGTGTGGACAATTCTGTGCACCAATAGCTGTGCTTTATCTAATCCTCTTTCTCTTTCTTTTTCTTTTCCTCTCTCCACCCCACACTACCTTGCTGGCTGCACGCCCACAGACAGACAGCTCCTTACGGCCTGGGAAATCCGCCAAGACGCCGGCGCCGCTCCCTGCCAAGGCGCTGTGAGTGCACCAGTGCCAGCGACCCCGCCTGTGCCACCTTCTGCCATCGAAGACCTGGTAAGTGTGCACCCAGCCTGCAGGGGCTGGGAGGCTGCTGGCCTGAGCCCTTCCAGGGAAACAGGGTGTCCAGGAAACTCAGCAGAGGAGCAGAGTGGTAGTCACACCTGTATAACCCTCGGAGGCCAGCGGCCACCCAGGTCTGTGGATAGCAGCCCTTTCTGCAGGGAATCAGTCACTGCAGGTCCCTCCCTCTGCCCAGCACAGGGCCTCTGAAAGCATTCCGTCTCCCCTGGTACTAGCTGAGGCAGCTCAAGCCCCACTTGTCCTGTCAGGCCCCACAGCTAAACCTTAAGTGGAGGTGCGTCTTTGCCTCACTGTGTCAGACAAGTCCACTGGGCTTTGGATTCTGACTTGAGTCCCAGGGGAGAAATGTCACCTGGAATTAGAAGGCCTTGTACCATCCCCCAGGGAGTTTCTGAGCTGCGGGAGCTTTTACCTTACTGCCTGGGTCTCCGTTTTGCCATCTGTGAAAGGAATGAGATTTTTGTCCCTTCTCTCCTCCGCTTGGAGCATCTGAGGAAAGCAGGAACTGACTTCCCATTCCCAAGCTCTAGTTCCCATAATAGTTTACGAGAAACTCCTCCTCTGAGGCTCTCACTGGGGCTCCACCCCTGCCTCAGTTTCCCCCTCCCCACGGCTGTGCTCTGCTGCAGGTGGCCAGATTCTGGGAAGACCAGCCACTCAGCTGCCTCTGGCTAAGGCTAAGCGCACATTCCCGGTAGCTCAATTTTCCTCAGTCCCCTCCCCTCCTCAGAAAGGAAAGATGCCAGGTGCACCGGGCTGGAAATGGATCTGCTCCTGAGGGCAGGTGGGGTGGGGTGGGGGCTGGGCCTGCAGCCAGGTGCTGCAAGGCCTCAGAGCCCCTCGCCCCTCACTCATGCCGTAATGCCATTCACTTAGGGTTGAACCTCCGGCAGTCCCCGGCAGTGGGTCCCATCCCAGCAAGTGCAGGGCTCACAAGACCTGAGGCCTCCACAAGAGAGCTCCTCCTGCGGCTGAGGTGAGAGGCCCCTGCGCTGATTGAGTGCTTTCTGTTTGCTTTGCCCCTTTCTTTTGCTCTCCATGTGGGCCACCATATGAAGCAAGATTGAATCTCCACTAAACAGCCAAGAGAACTGAAGCCCAGAGATGTGACACCACTTGCCCAAGGTCACACAGCAGTTTGCAGCATCTGACCCCAGCTCTGTGCTCTTAATCACTAGGCTTTCAGTGACCACTGGGCCTGGAAGTGGACCTTCTTAGAGAATGAGGGTGCTTGAGAGTTCAGGACTGTGGAACTCACCACTGTTCCTTCAAGTCTCCCACATTCTGGGTGCTGGGGTCGGGAGAGACCAGATGTCCCAGACTGCATCTCCTCCCTGGTGGCATCAGCGTGACTCAGCTCCAGGTGTGGTGCACAGCAGGTGTGCATGAATGTCTGCTCCATCAAACTGACTTGAGGGCCTGGCATCTGGACCAAAATTTAATGTTGAGGTTCAAGGAGCAACCTGTGGAGCCAGGACTACCTGATTTGAATACCAGTCTTTCCCCAAACAAGCTTTATGACCTTGGACATTTAACTTCTCTTGGCCTCAGTTTCCTGTTCCTGCAATAGGGACTAAAGCACTGTCCGTCTTAGGGATAATGTAAGGCCTCAAAGCACTGATGGGTATAAAGTGTGACAAATAGTGTTTGGCTGGTACCCAGAGGGAGATCTGAAGTTGCCCACTATTCCTGCTGCTACTACTGATGCCTCCTCAAGGCTGGTAGTGCCAGTCTCTCTCCACCCATCAGAGTCTCCCATCTCTTAGACGAAGCAGGAAAATAGAGGAAAAGGCAGGATGGGGAGATGGTAGGGCCCAGCATGTATTTGGGAATTGCCTTAGAATAGGAAAATCAGGCTAAGACTAAACGAGTGCACACTCCACAGTGTGCGGAGCCTGCTTTGTGACCTTGAACTCGTCAGATCGCGCGAACTCCCCGCTTTTATTTTCTAGACCAAGACAGGGCACAAAGAGGTTAAGACACTGAATTTCCACAGTTGGAAACAGAAACGAGCCTCCTGGCTCCCAGACTGCGGCTCTGGTTCTTTGAGCCAGGATGTGGCTACTCAGAGGAGGCCAGGGTCTCCGGGCGACCTGGGACCCACGTCTGTCCAGGCCAAACAGAGCAGTCCTGAGCTGGACCTCTAGGCGTGGGTAGAATTTTAGTACACAGTGTGTGAATGAGAGGACAGGTGTGCAGGCAGGAGAGAACAGCATGAGCAAAGGTGTGGAGAGTGGAAGGCGGATCCTGGATACAGCACGCCGTTCTTGGCCATCCAGTTGTTCAGGCATTTGGTGCCACTGAGCTTCAGCTTTCCCAAGGAAGCTTCTAGATCGTCTCTGGTCTGGTCACTCCTCTGCAGACTTTGCCTGCTGGGTCGGCCATCTTCACCTTCTGATCCCAGAGCAGCAGGGATCCCAGGGCCAGGTGCAGATCCGAGTCTCCACCACCCCTCACCCCCACTGGTAGCTCTTGCCAAGGCCCCATCTCCTGAGATGCTGAGTTGATTCTTCTTGATTTCTAGGGACATTTCTGTTGCCAAGATCCGCTTTGCCAAGTGGCAGCAGAAGAGAACGAAAGAGCCCAAACCTACACCCCCGTGGAAGAAGAGATAGCGCTGAGTGTTGGAGGATCACTGAGAAAGAAACTCTTATGGAGACAAGAGGGGCAGCCCAGGCCTGGTGGGAGACCCTCTGCCTATTTTTCTGGCCACTAGACCTTCGTGCCAACCAGCTGGACTGATTCATTGGGATTGGCACAAGCTCTGGCTCCTCGTACTGGTGAGGGAGGTACCCTCCAGGCAGCTCAGTGCCCTCACGCTGCCCAGGAAAGCCCTCAGCCCCCGACGACAGAGACGCCTCCTGGTGCTGGCTCCCGGCTCGCCAATCTGCTGCAGGAGCTGCTGGAAGCGTGTGAACCTGGAGTCTTCACTCTTTTGGGATATCCAGTCTGCCAGCCTACAGACCAGGAGCAGGGGGATGCCTGTGCCCCAGTCAGCCCTGGAGGCTGCACTGGACACCCCTCTCCCCTACCCAGGACTGGTGTCCCTGCCTCCCCAGCTGTCCTCTCCAGTTCTCTGTCCCCAGCATCCTGGTACCCTCAGCCCTTGGAATTCCTGGTGAGAAGGGCCTGCTCCGCTTCAGCCCATCTGTACATAACTTATTTGCTGGAAGAACTCTGAGAATCTCACTTATTTATTTTAATGTATTTTTTTAGACTTTTCATTATTTACTTGCGAACTTCTGTTTGTAATAAACAATGAAATGTTACATTAGTATTCCGTCTCGGCTGGAGGCAGGCAGGAGTCCCTCTCGGGGAGGGGCTGCTGGAGATCAAGGGGCACAGGAAGGAGAGAAGAAGGCTTCCCCCCGCCTGGAGGGCATGTCTGGCTCCTAACGGGGCTCCTGCTTCCCATGTGACTGGACAGCTGCTGGCAGCGTTGACATCAGAGTTCCAGGACTGACACCCCCCGCACCCAGCTCTTTCCCAGGAGTGTACTTGGAAGGAGGCAGGAATGTGAGGTCACTGAGCTCCACTTCTGCTCCTGCTACCTGCCACTCCAGGAGCTGTGAGGCCAGAACAGATCAGTGCACTGAGGGTGGACTTGATAAATTCTGAAGCTGCATGAGGTCTTGTGGTCAGTGACCAGGGCTGTGGAGTGGAGGCGGGGAGGTCATGGCTCTCCCTCCTACCCCAGAGTCTCAGGGCCAAAAGTGCGACACCTGTGTGAAGCCTTGGGTCTCCCACAAGCCCCCAGACTCTCATGCTACTCTGGCAGAGGTGGGGGTGTTCCCTGTGGTGCCCTGCAGCATCTCTGGACAGAGCTAAAGGTCCTGGGCATCCTTGGAGGGATTCGAGGCTCACACAGTGGGCCATACTCAGCCCCAGGTCTCTGTCTTCAGGACTTCAGGATCCTCTCAGCTTACTCCCTGCCACTCTTCTCCAATCGCAGTAGCCCAGGGCTCTAGAGATGAGTTAACTGATCCGGTCAGTAGACCATCTGGGCTCCAAGTTCAGCTCAAAATCAAGGTCACTCTCGATGGCTGCTGCACAGACCCACAGCCTTCATTCCTACCCATCCTCCCTGCCAGCAAGCTATGCCCCTTTCCCACAGCTGGCCTGCACTGGGAGTGGCAGGTGTGGCCCAAGCCAGCTCTCAGGAAATAGTTGCGGGCTGTGAAATAATCACTTACACTCTGCTCTAATCCTGCCTTGTCCACGGGCCCAAACTTGACCCTCTCACGGAAGAAAAACAACAGTTGGCACATACTGGGTGCCTCGTTTTACCCAGGTTAACTCATTTTATCCTCTGGACAGTAATCCTGTGGATGACATAAGTGCTTTCATTAGCTCCATTTCGCAGATGAGAATACAGAGGCACAGAGAAGATAACTGACTTGCCTAAGATGGCACAGCAAATGAGTGGTGGCATCAGGATTTGAACCAGGTCTTCTGACTACTGGGTTCCTTGTATAAATGTGCATTGTTTGTTGTGTGTCTTTGAGTCAGACCAACCCATAGCTGACCCTGTACCAAGTGCTCAGAGACAGTAAATCACACGGGAGGGGTGTGCCCATCCTTCTCCCGCAGAGCGTCTGGTGGATTCGAACTGCCTGCCTTTGGGATTACAGCACGTTTATTACCTCTAGGCCACCAGAGCCCCCTATGCATGTGCAGAGTACATATTTATTGATTGAATTTATGTGTAACTACTGCCAGCAACGTGACCTTGGACAAATCTCACATTCTGTGCCTTAGTTTTTGTCATCTGTAAAATAGGAACTGACAGTATCTAGCTCACGGGATGAGGGAGCTCTGGTGGTGTGGCCACAGGAAGCTGTGCCGCTCCCCCAAAGCCTGTGCCTCTCTGCTCGGTCAGATCCATCAGCACCTCCTCGAGAGAGATGGGCAATCTCTTCTTGCCATTTTCAGCCTTGGAAACTCTCTGGAGGGGCAGCTGTGAGTCAGTACTGACTGAGCGAATAGATCTCATAGGATTGGTATGAGCTCTAAACAGGTACAACACAAGGGTTTGCCCAGCGAGTGGGATTGGGGTCGGTGGGTCAAAGAAAATCTTCTTGAAAAACTGAGGTTACTCTTATGACCCCAAAGGAGAAGTAAAGTAAACAAATTTTTTAAAAGATGAGTAAGACCCAATAAATGTCTCTGGGTGATGCAAATAGTTTACATTCATCTTCTAACCTAGAAGTTGCTGGTTCAAATCCAATCACTGGCATCATGAAAGAAAGGCCTGGCAATCTGCTTCCATAACAATTAGCACAAAGGAAACCCTGTGGAGCAGTTCTGGTCTCTAACACACAAAGTCGTCATGAGTTGGAATTGACTTAGTGGTAATGGATCTTTATGAGTTTAAGCTTGAAATAAAGAGAAAATGGAGATGAAACTGCAGATAACAGGCCGAGGAATGATATGGAAACAGGAATAACAAAGGGGGTCCCACGGAGGGCCCCTGTGACTGGAGGAGAGTGCAGCAAGAGCCGTGGGGGATGAGGCCAAAAAGGCCTCGAAGGATGGTTAAGGAGCCTGGAGCTCTTTTGCAGGCCATAGGGAGGCAGAGAAGGTGTGTGAGCAGGAGAGAGATCTTACCAGAGCTGATCAGAAAGATGCCTCTAGATGTTGCTCAGGCTGGGAGTGAGTGAGGAGACAAAAAACAAAACAAAACAAAACAAAACTTGGTGCTGTTGAATCTATTCTGATTCATGGCAACCCCATCCGTTCCAGGGTAGAACCCCATCCGTTCCAGGGTAGAGTCCCATCTGTTCCAGAGTTGAACCCCATCCGTTCCAGGGTAGAGTCTCATCCTTTCCAGGGCTGAACCCCATCCATTCCAGGGTAGAGCTCTATCCGTTCCAGGGTAGAGCCCCATGCGTTCCAGGGCTGAACCCCATCCATTCCAGGGCTGAACCCCATCCATTCCAGGGTAGAACCCCATCCATTCCAGGGTAGAACCCCATCCATTCCAGGGTAGAGCCCCATGCGTTCCAGGGTAGAACTCCAGCTCTTCCAGGGTAGAATCCCATGTATTCAAGGGTAGACCCCCATCCATTCCAGGTTAGAGCCCCATGCGTTCCAGGGTAGAACCCCATCCATTCCAGGGTTGAACCCCATCCGTTTCAGAGTGCTTTCATGGCCTTAATCTTTACAGAAGCAGATGGCCAGGCTCTTCTTCTGAGGTATCACAGGGGGGTTCGAAATGCCAACATTTGGGTTAGCAGTTAAGTACAAAGCATTTGCACCACTCAGGGTCCTTAATGAGGAGACAGACAAGGAGAAAAAGTCCCCATGGGCAATTACTTGTCTGTCCTGTAACCAGGGAGATGAGGGCTGGTGCAATAAGGACCACCTGGCACTTAATTCCTGCCCCAGCTCAGGGGCAGAGCAGGTGGTCTCTCACATTTTAGCTGAGCCAGGTGCCAGGGGATCTCACTCCCTAGGAAACCCCAGCATCCCACTGAAGATGGCCTGACCACCTTGAAATCTGGAAAGGCTTCCTTGTGGGTCTGAGAGACCATGCATCAGGGTGAGACAGCAAGGACCACAGGGGTGAGGATGCCAGAGGAATGAGGAGGCCCTCGCTGGGGGTACCTGGTTGGAAACAGGCTGCTTGCTACCCTTGGCCCAGGTTCCAGTGGCCCTGGCCATGGTTCAGAGAGTAATGGTCCAGATAACTAAGCAATGAAAATGATTAAGGGGAAGAGAGGAAGTATCAGATGCAGTGAAAGTGGGAGTGACACCTTAGTTCCTTGGACCCAAAGTCCAGGGCAATGGGGCCTCAGGCTTGGACGCTGTACTTTTGCGAGCCCTGCTCTGGCTTCAGCCAGCCATGACTCTCCCCACAGCATGAAGTTTGCAGAGCCAAAGGGTCATTGATGCCCTGAAGTTTGTGGCAGCTCCTAGAACAAACTCCCCAGCTGGACTCCAGCTGAAGGATGGTGGAAGGTAGGTTAGAACCTGGGGACAGGCAGAGAGGAACGTGTGAGGAGTAACTGAGGTCAAACAGAGCCCTGGAAAGAAAGGATCGAGGTTTTAGGAAATATGAGTCTCACCGGTTGAGGGGAGAGAAGTGTAAAATCTCCCATTATTCTACCTTGTCAGTAAACAACAGATTTTTGGCAAGGTTGTTGGAGTCAAGGCTGTGTTCCTTTTGACTGGAACACTAGGCAGAGATAGACCAGAAGGGGGCACAAGGTGGCCCCGTTTATTCAGGGAGCACTGGGAAGCTCAGCGTGGTGATGTACTGTGTCCAGGGCAGTGCAAGCTGGAGGCTTACCCAGGCTGGTGAAACCCTGTCTAGCTCTGGTCTGTCTCTCTCCCCCCACCCCCTCCTCCACTCCTGCACCCAGCCTCAGGAATGAAACCCAGGGTGTGATAGCTCTCTTTCTCTCTCTCACTCTCTCTCCTCTGACTAAAACAGAGACCAGCAAGCTGGGGTTTCAGTTCAGAGAAGTCATTTGTCTATCAGGGCAATAAATCATTGGAATGTGGTCATTGATTCATTCAATAATTACGAATAATCACCCCTGGGAAAACTCCTAGAAGCAAGACAGACACAGGTCCTGCCCTTACAGGCCAGTAGGAAAGCCATTCAAGAAAA